TCTACATATATTTGATGTCTGGTTTAATTTTCAGTTCCTATAAAGATGTTTTTTGGGTTTTAATCAATCTGATGATATTATTGAAAGTTCATACTACCTTTTTACTCAAAAATTTCCAAGTGAATTTCTGTTATCTTGGTTCTGTAGTCTTCCGCACTCAGTGGTTTTATCAAGGATTTGTACTAAAGTTTTATGCAATACTAGTTATATATTTCTCTATATATATGTAATATTATACTTTACATAGATACCTCAAGCTCTTAATGTTAGTAGTACTCAACTTGGTGTATTTGGATTACAATTGCATGAGGCCAACTAATTGACAGAAGACAGTTATTATAATGCAGATATAATTTTCAAATTTCATCATAGATGGAATTTAAACCTTAGACCTACCACTTAAAGAATGACAACTCAACTACTATACTAGAATTACTATCCTCATATGATAAGTTTTTATAGTTCTATTGTTAAACTTATTTATAACAATATTATATAATGCAAACTTTGTCAAAAGCCAATTATATTTTAAAAAGTTATATAATTGCTATACTTAAAACTGACTAATATAATTTTTAGAAACTTTATTAGTTAATTTTAAGTACAATAGATATATAGCTTTTTTAATATAATTAATATTTGTTGAAGTTTGCATTATATAATATAATCAAAATTGTAACTTTAGTAAATTTTTAGTAAAACTTTTAATTTTTGAAAAAGTTTTTGATAATATTTTTAATTTTAAATAGAAATTTTAACTTTTAGTTTTGTATTTTTAATAAGTTAAATTTATCAAAAATATTTTGATAAATCAAATTTATCAAAAGTATTTTAATAAATTAAATTTATTAGAGAAGTTTCAATATGTCTAAAGATAAGTTTAATTAAATTGTAATTAGTTATAACTAATTAATAATTATAAATAATAATAACTAGTTAAAAATAATTAACTAATCTATTAAAATTATAACTAATATTAGATTTTAATTTTTTAGCTAATAAATAATAATAATTATTATAAATGTTTCTAATAATTAGATTAAAATATTTGTAATAATAAATATATTAATATAACTGGTAAGTTGTATAACTAGTTATACAAAAAAATACAAATAGGCATTAAATAAACAAATTTTAAATAAGTTTTTGTAATTGTATAAATTTGTTAAAATTAGAAAACAAAAAATTTATTTAAAAAAAACCAAGCAAAGAAGTAATATAAATTTTTAATATTACTATTGTAAAGACAGTTTTATAAAATAAATATCAATATAAAGAAGTTAAATAAAAAGAAATTCTAAATAAATTATCACTAATTAGATCACTAAAATAGACCAAAATAAAAAGATATTAGGCCAACCTGATATTATACTTGTCACCTAAATTTCAAACTATTATAGTTTGGGTTTGTCTGCATCCAAATTCCAAACTCAAGCCCAAATTAATATTTTAAAAATTTATTAATAATCTTTATTTAAACAATTAATTTATATTCTTATAGCTATATATAATATATTTACAAAATATTAAAATTATTTTGTTGATTTAATTTTTTATAAAGCAATTTGTTTTTTTGAGATTTAGGATTTGTTTAAATTTTGCTAGCAAGTATACCTAATACATTAATGAACTGGTTATAGTCTTATTAGATTATCTGAATTAGAAGTTTAAAGATGATGTCAAATATACTAAACTAATTTCAAATATGCTATAAAGTAATACTAAAATACAAGTAAACTTTGTAAAGACATAGCAATTTAATGATTAATCCTGATTGCAAGTATTAGTTCTAATATAGTAATATTAAATTAATTATAAAAATAGGTACAAAAGACTCTAAGATACTTATCTTAAGAATAAAATAATCCTAAAGTTGAGACAATAACCTGAGAATAACCTAATAATATTAAACAGATTTCAGATTCAAAATGTTTAAAATAAAACATTTAAGCAAAAATATTAGATATAGCAATTAATAAAAATTTTTAAGCAGACTTCTTACATAGTTAATAAAAAAATTACATGTATAATTGATTGTACACTCTTGTTATAATAGTTTTATATAGAATTATATTATTATAAAAGTGTTAATAAAAGTCAAAAAATTAAAGAAGTTATCTTAAAAGAATGATTATATTAACAGATTTTTTTTTATCTTTACCTTCTTCTACTATCCTAAAGGTCCTTAGACACCTTTAGAACCTGTCACATCTTTTAAAGATTAGAATTATTATTTTGCAAAGATCATCAGATGGTATGTGGCCCCTGTATATCACTAAATTTTAAGATAACTTATGCTCTAACAAGTTTATTATATGAAATTCTAGATTTCTGATTCTATAATGTAGGATCTACTATTACCTTTGGTTTGCAATTTTCTAATTTCACATGATTCACCAGTCAGATCATTTGTAAATTTTGATATTCTCAATTTTATGTATTCTTAAATCAGGCTCTCTTATGTTAATGTTATTTGTTAATGAATTATATTTTATCTGATTGTTTCTGACCCTGTGACTATATCAGTTACTATATTCTTTTTCATATAAATCTTGTTCTTGCTTTTTTAAATAGAAATTCATTGCAGATCTTTTTTAATTATAGTCCTGGCAGAGTTTTTGTCATCTTCTGAACTCAAACTTACAACCTTGTGATTGAGACCCAGGAGTGCTAACTACTATGCTATTGATTCAAAGGTTTATTAACAGATTTGTATTATTAGATAAGTAAAATATTTATTGTTTATAATTTTAATTAAATTTATAAATCATTTAATCAAATTTAGAACAAACCAATTTTAAATCTAATAAAAAAAATTTACAATTTTGATTATAATTATATTAACAAAACAGCTATTCAATGTAATTGGCTAATTTTTTTTAGATTTATTATAAAATAATAAAAATTTTATTTGTTAATTAAAATTAATTAAATTCTAAATTATAAAAAAAAATTATTTAAATTTTAGTTTTTTTTTTTATTATTATAAATTTTTTTAAACTTTTAACAAATAATTATTTAATAAAAATATATCTAGTCTTAGTTAAGAATAGTTTTAAAATTACTTTAAACATGTTTAGAAATAGGATCAGTTAGTTACAATTAGTTATTGGTTAGTTATTATTAGTTAAATGCTTATAACTAATTGGTTGCAATTAGTTATATAGTGTAATGATTAGAAACTGATCAATGATGCATTAAATCTAAAAGAGATCATTTGCATAATTATTTAGCAAACATAGCATAATTAGTAGATTTAGCAAAAACTGCATATACAGTAGATTTAGAATAACTAGTATATTTAGAATAACTAGCATATATAAAATAACTAGCATAATTAGCAGATATGTAAATAATATATAAAGCACAAAGCATTTGTATGTAAAAGAACACAAAACATATCCATATATACTCTAATAAAGCATATGCTTTGTAAAATTCACACCCTCTTTTATAGTAGTAGTATTATTCAATATTATATAAGCCAACCTAGGATATCCTATGAATAGGAATTTTTAAGTAAGCAATTATTTGAAGCATTAATAGTTAAATAATTAGTTAAAGCTAATAAGTTATTTAACTAAATATTTAAACAAATATTTAAATAAGTAAAAAGCAGAAAAGATAGAATACTGTATAAACTATTAAAAAAAATAAAATATAATAATTTATATTATATAATCAAAAACTATTATTTATAATTCTAATCAAACTTAAAGATATTCAATTATATAAAAGTTGTTTTATTCTAAATCTAGCCAAATAATCTACAAGCTTGATTTGTATTACTAATCAAAAAATTGTATAATTAATTTAAATTTAAATTATCTAAAATTTTAAATTTTATAAACTTTAATAAAGGTTTTTTAATAATTGTTTAATAAAATTTGGTAAAATTTTTTATTTAAATTATGTAAAATTAAAATAAATAAAAAATTATTAAATAATTTATTATATATTTTATATTCAATTATATAACTATCTATACATTTATTAAATGCAATATTTTTTATATTTTTATTTCTAATTTGCATAACAACATTACACAGTTATGGTAAATTATTTTTATACAAAAATAACTAAAAATTCATCAGTACTAAAATCATTAATATCTGGTTATTATATTAAGATAACTAACTTTAGCATCTTAAGTAACTTGTTCAGCTACTAAATTTACATATATTCTAAAACTTTTAAAGAGATAGCTTTTAAACTTGCAGTTTAATACTGCAATAATGACCTTTAGAGTTTTAAACTCTTTCCTTATTTATTTCTTAACAACTAGCTTTACAACCTACTCTATAGTTCTATGAAATGTTGTAGAGCTCATTTCTCCAATCAAAACAAGATCTAAATAAATCCAATAGACCTAATATTAACAGAGATACCTTAACAAATAGTTTTAATTCTCTTATAAACTCTTTAACAAATTCTTTTTCATTTACCCTAACGATTTTTTCTCATACATGATTTTTGTGTAAAATTAAATTATTACTACAATCATTTTCATTGTAAACTAATTAATATTACTTAAAATAGTATACAATTTTTTATTAGTTTTTCTTCTTTTACTAATTTGACTTTGTACACTATTACAAGGCTTTTTTGGAATATGTAACTAAATTGTTACATTAAGCTACACTTGCCATGCTAGCTACATCTTGTATTATATAGGTTATACAAAATTGTTTTCAAGATTACACAAAGCTGCAATAGCCGCAGTAGTCACAGTATTACATCATATTCCTGTCAAATCAACCCTTACTACTATAAATTTTATATATTAAAAACTTTAACTATTAATAACAAAAAAATTTACTAAGTAATATTAACTTCTATCCTTAAGTATACCTATAGTATTTTTTTCTTCTCTATCAAATAGAATGCCTACTTTGACCACCCAAGAGTCAGATTATTTTGATCTTGACTATTATTATAACAAGTACAATGATCATTATAGTACAATAATTTGAGAAGTACAATCTATACAACTTAAAGTGATGTTATTTGCATTTAACCAATCTGAATACAATATTACTAAATCTCTTCACTACTTTAAAACTCCTACTCAACCTACCATTGTCTGCTGTTATTGCCAAAAATTCTATACTCTCTTTACTTTTAGTAATCTTAACATTCCATTTAGACAAATAACTTCTTTTCCTTCTTCTCAAAAATTCACATATATGAATATTGATATTACATCTAAACAAGTTAGATAACTCAAAGAAACTATCTCTCAATTACCAATTACAAAAACAACTACTGTTCCTCCATTATCATTCTCTTTAAATTATTCTACAACTCAACAAAGAACTTTATCTAATTTAACACAAACTCTCCAAATTCAAGTACATTCTCATCATGCACATACTTGCATTATTTATCAAAATAAAAACATCTTATGTGCTTTCTTAGAAAATAATACACACTCACTTCTTGACAAATCTATTCTTATTATTAAAGGATTTCTAACACATCCTAAATGTATTCATAAACTCAAACTCAAACCTATTATTCAAACTAAAGCACTTACTCTTATACAAATCCAAACTGCTCTTGTAATCAAACTTACTACACTATCTAAACAAAAGAAAATTTTAATTTTCAAAAAATTCTTAAGATTATTAAAACAAAAAAACAAAACCCATATCAAAAACAACCTATTATCAAGAATCCTCTTATTTCCAAACTTATACTTCTTATTTCTATTATAGATGAAACAATTAATAACAAACAACAATGCCAAAAATTAAATGAACAATCTTACAATCAAGCAACAAGACCTAAATTCAATCTATTATTTAATTAGTTAGCAAATTTTCCAGTCATTAATGAAATGCAAAATCATACAAAATTAGAAACTGAGATATTATGCTAGCTTTTTAATTTCTTAAAGAACACTTATACAATTTTTATCCTAATAAAGTCCTTAAAGAAGCCACAGAAACTAAATATGTACTTAAAGCTAGCTTTTATTTGTTGATTAGACAAATGGCTAGTATCAGACCAAAATTTTTTATTAACCTAATCCAAAAACACAATTCAGAAATAAATAAAGCTGCAACAATTTTCTTCAATATTTTAGAAAAAAGTCTTAAAAAACTTATTCATATATTTACAACAGTCTTTTTTACCAAATTCAACTATCCCAAAATATATGCCTCTTCTGCAACAATCCCACCAATTAAAACTAAAAATCATCTATAATTTTGTCTTAATCTTGCTTGCTTACATTTATATCTTTCTAATAATTATCAAGTAATCAACTATACAAAATTTGCTAAAGATATTAAACTCAGACCTAAAAGGTTTAAAATAACATCTGAGTTTACTAATTTTGACAAAGAACAACAATACCTTTACATCAAAATGAATAACTAATTCAATATCAAATTGAATTTCAATCTTCCAAAATCTCTTTTTCTTGACAAATATAATATATCATCACTTAAAAACTTACTCAGCCATTTTAATAAATAGTTTAATAAAGGTTTTCTATTATATAGTCAACAATTCTTCAATACAATTAACAAAACTAAAGTGTCCAACTACCTTAAATATGAATTTAGACAACACTTTATCTCGTATCTAAAAAATCTTTTGCCAACTAATATAGAATTTATAAAACCAACTAATCTTCAAAAATGATATCATGAAACTTTTAGACATACCAACTACCATGTACTTACCTGTACAGAGTCTAAATGTTCCTATCTTTAACCAACTGATAAAAAAGAAAAAATAAAAGAAGCTGATACTAATTCAAAGAAAATCTTTATACCACAACCTACACACAACTTATTAAAACTTATTAAAGATATATTTAAAACATCTTACAAAACCTATCTCAAAAAAGATACTGAAACATGGAATGAACCTTTTTTTGATGCATTTATATTCTATATTAAAGGCAAACATGAAGCTACATTTACAAAACCAATTTTACTTTAACTCTCAATGAACTAGCAACAAAGGCAGAAGAATACACTTGTTCCTCTAATGCTTCAAAACCAATCCTAAATAATGAGGCTTCTACTTTTATCAATACTTATCCATATATCATAATACTGCTGCTCAAAACTACAATATTGACAAAATGGTTAAATAACAAGCCATTAAGTTCCTTATAACAAAACTAATTGATACTGACTTTCTAGCCCAAGTTATTATATACTTTGATTGCATATGAGGCAATTCTCCAAATTACTCTGAAATAACTAAATTCTATAAAGAGAAAGCCTTACCAGAAGCAGAAACAATATTATATAACAAATTCAATATCAAATTTGAAATACCTATTTCAATTAAGGAGTTACTCTTCTTGAAAAATAAAAAAGATGCTCCTTTTTAATAAATTCTTCTGTAGTATCCATAAAAGCAGCCACTATTCTGGAATTATAATGTTCTCCATTATTAATAGGCCATTTTCAAAAAAGAATGATGTAAATAGACAGATGGTAAAGTCTATTTATATAAAGAACCAAGGTAATGACACTCAGACTCAATGTACAGAGCAGGCTATAGTCCTCTTCACAACTGTGCAGCTGATTATATAGTAAGCGAAACTACAGAAGAATTTTTTATTTTCTTGAACCCTATTTCATCATCTCACATCAAAAAAGCTCTGCAAGAACCAATTCACAAGACATTATATGATCCAGACTCTTGTTATAACCAATAGTTAACATGTCTAAAACTACCTTTACTTCTATATCCACAAACTTTCAACTTATTCTTAAAACACATCTACTAATACAATTTTACACAATACAATAACTTTAACTATACACTAAGATTAGCAATCAAACTGGACTATAGTGAATGCTATATATACCTACTATATGTGTCTCAACTCTTATCTGATTACTTCTTCCTACAATTATCAGGTTATATCTACTATCCATCTATATCTATTCCTTCTAAATTCTCTTCAATTAACAATAATATATTAGATACTAACCTAATCATAAAGGACAATGAATTAGATAACAATTACTTCCAAATAGTAGAAGCTATTTTAGAAGGCTATGATGAAACTACTATAGCTAACTGATACTATGACAATATTTAATTTAATACTTACTACAACAAATTCCTATTTTATAACCATATTTCATTACTTCTTTACCTTCAAACTATTATTACTTTCTTATATTATATCCACAGCTTTGGTTATTCACCTAATAACCTTTATGGCTACACATTAACTATCTCTATTAATGATCATAATGAAGCTTATGTCTATCTTCCATTTGAACCCAAACCTTTATCTAATTACTTTATTTTATTAGTTCAAGCAATCTGACATTACCCAAACATACAACTAAAATTCAAAACATCAGTACTAGTTTTTACTAATCTAGCATCTTTAGATAACCCATCACTTTTCTTTTTACTCTATACATCCAACCTTAATGTTGTATCTGACTCTAACTCTCCTTCCAATAATGACCTACTTCAACTTAACATCTCAACGCATAATATGCAAGGATATAATATATAAGAAAAAAGACTATTATAGGAAAATTACTGTCTAACTTATAATTTACATATAATTAGTCTTACTGAAGCTAAAATTGCTAAAAACATAAAAACCAAATTCTGAAACACATCTGAATACTCATATTTTTGGTCCAGCTCTATAGAATCCAAAGAAGAAACATGTATAATGATTAAAAATAATATTAAACCCTATATATATAATATACTTATACAACCTAGTAGTGCTATTATCATAGATCTTTTCTTTAAAAATGACTACAAATTTAGGATCATTTCAGTATATCTCTCATTAACCTAAGTATAGACTTACATAAAATACAGTTACTACATGAACACAACAAGCAATATTATTAAATCTATATTCTATTATACTTGGTGACTTTAATGCAAACCACAATACTACTATAATATCAACAACTAAATTTCAATTACCTAATTACTTACATAGTATCAACATGTTTAACCTAGCAGATTATATTAATAATCTACAAAATACATAACATAGTTTACATTATCAGACTAGAATTAACTATATATAGGTCTACAACTCTTTTATACCTTACTTACAAGAATTCAAACTTAATAATTCACTATTTTCTACTAATAGTGACCACCAAATCTTAACATCAACATGGATATTCCCATTTGCTATGACTAAAGTCAAACATAAAAGCAAATGACATATATTTAATTACAAAGTTATATTCAAAGAAGATTGAAACAATTTTATAGACTAAGTAAATTTTAACATAATATAACACCAGATCTTAGCTGCAACAAATACAGCAGAAAGCTTAGAAAAAACATGGCACAAAATATACACCAGTATTATTAATGCTGCATTTTAACATATTTCTAACAAAAAATACACTGTTAGAAATTTTCATCACACATTTACACCAAAAACAACCAACTACATTATGATCTTAAAACTATAGATCATATAATGTATTGTACTAAAAAATATTTTTCTCACCAAATACCTTTATCTACTAACATTTACAACTTAATTAACTACATCAACAATACTCATAACTTTATTATTGAACCTCCTCCTAACCACCAATCTAACCTAACTATATAAATACAACATATAAAAACTTTCTGAAAAACACTTTACAAAGCCAGAAACCTAAAGAATGCTAAACACCTTAGAAACTATATTAACCTAGCCACTAACAAATGATGTGAATATCTAACTACTCAATATACTAACACAGTACACTTTCAAAATATCAAAGCTAATGATAGTTTAATTACTGACTCTACAGAAATTAAACAATATATTAGCAATCATTTTAATGAATGGACAGCCCACCATCCACTTGATGAAGACATTTTTAACAATAATTAGAAAGATATCTACCAACCTAACTATAGTATTAATAGAGAATAATACACTTCTATACTTCAAGAAATCACTACTAGAGAAATTATAAGCACTATACAACAGTTACCCAACAACAAAGCCTATGGCCCAACAGAAATCAGTTATGAAATGATTAAACACTTAGGTCCAATATGCTGACAGCACTTACAGCATTTTTCAACAGATGTTTAATTATACAAAACATTTCAAAACAATAAAAATGCAGCAGAATATATCCTATTTCAAAAAAACCAGAGTTTGATGAAAATCTTAACAATACATAACCTATTAGTTTAATTGAACATACTAAAAAACTATATACTAAAATCCTTACTAACA